CAGGAGTTTGAGACTGGCCTAGCCAACATGGTGAAATCCCATCTCCACTAAAAATACAAAAATTAGCCTGGTATGGTGGCGGGTGCCTGTAGTCCCAGCTACCTGGGAGGCTGAGGCACGAGAATTGCTTGAACCCGGGAGGCACAGGTTACAGTGAGCCAAGATCATGCCATTGCACTCCAGCCTGGGTGACAAGAGTGAAACTCCATCTCAAAATAAGATAAAATAAAATAAAATAAAATAAGAAAAACTCTTAATCAAATATCCAGACAGTATTTAAATTTCCACAATTGTTTCTTTTGTAAAAGACACTTTATTTGAATTAAGATCTAAATAAGGTGCATACACTGTATCTCTTAATCTACACGTTTCCTACCATTCTTTTTTCTTTTGTAGCAGTTTATTTCTTCAAAATTAATTCTTTTTGTCTTGAAAAGCAAGTTTAAAGCTTTATGGTGCATACGATTTTTGTAATTAGAAAATGTTTTAGTCTGGACATGGTGGCACATGCCTGTAATCCCAAGAGCTCGGAGAGGCCAACGCAGGCAGATTGCTTGAGGCCAGGAGTTGAAGACAAGCCTGGGCAACACAGCAACACCCCATCTCTACAAAATAAAAAATAAAAAAACACAAAAATTAGCCAGACATGGTGGTGCATGCCTTGTGGTCCCGGCTACTTTGGAGGCTGAAGTGGGAAGATCACTTAAGCCTGAGATGTCGAGGCTACAGTGAGCTGAGATCATGCCACCACACTTGAGCCTGGGCAAGAGTGAGAGCCTGTCTCAAAAAAAACCAAAACAGAAACAAAAAAACAGAAAAAAGTTTCAGAGGAAAAATAACCTATAAAGGAAATAAAATTCACCTATACTTTTATAAGTTTCTTGAACGTTATTTTTAATATTGGCAAAATACTTCATTGTGTGACGTGCCACAATTTAATGACTGCTATTTTTTGGACTCTTAGGTTGTGTCCAGTTTTCTCCTCTGGTTAATTGTGTATCAGGGATTATTGTGTCTGTAAAGCATTATGCACATCTGATTATTTCTGGGGGAGGATAAACCCCTAGAAGTAGAATTAACAGTCAGAGTGTATATATGTATATAAAAAAAAAATCTAAGGCTGCTGAAGTCTGTTGAGAAAATTCTTCATAAAGCCTTATATTTGGGCCAGGGATGGTGGCTTATACTTGTAATCCCAGTGCTTAAAGAAGGCCAAGGCAGGAGGATTGCTTGAGGCCAGGAGTTTCAGATTAGTCTAGACAATATAGCAAGACCTCCATTGCTGCAAAAAGTAAAAAAAAAAAAAAAAAAATAGGCGAGGGTGGTGGTGTGTGCCTGTAGTTCCATCTACTCTGGGTGTCGAGATGGGAGGATCCCTTGAGCCCAGGAGTTTGAGGCCGCAGTGAGCTGTGACTGTGTCCACTGTACTCCAGGCTTAGGTTACAGAGTGAGACCCTGTTTCAAAACAAAAGAACCAGACATATTCATAGTCAGGTATCTTAATCCATTTTCCATTGCTTATAAGAGAGTATCTGAAACTGGGTAATTTGTAAAGAACCAATTTATTTCTAATATTTCTGGAGGCTGGGAAGCACAAGGTCAAAGGGGTGCATCTGCCTACTTGTTGGCAGAGACTCTCTGTAGAGTCCTGAGTGGGGTGAGTATGCTAGCTCAGGTCCCTTTTCCTCTTATAAAGCTTCCAGTCCTACTCCTGTGATAACCCATTAGTCCATGAATGGATTAATCCACTTGTGGCACAGGGCCATGAACCAATCACCTCTTAGAGGCCCCGCCTCTCAATACTGCCACATTGGGGGTTAAGTTTTTTGTTTTTTGTTTTGTTTTCTGAGATGGAGTCTTGCTCTGTCACCCAGGCTAAAGTGCTGTAGCATGATCTCGACTCACTGCAACCTCTGCTATCTGGGTTCAAGTGATTCTCCTGCCTCAGCCACCCGAGCAGCTGGGATAACAGGTACCTGCCACCATACCCAGCTAGTTTTTGTATTTTTAGTACAGACGGGGTTTCACCATGTTGGCCAGGCTGGTCTCAAACTCCTGAACTCAAGTGATCCACCTGCCTCGGTTTAACATGAGTTTTAGAGGGAACAAAAATTCAGACCATAGCATCAGGAGTATAAGAAAATAGCACTTCTACCACAGTCTTGCAAATACCAGGTATTAAAAACAAAAACACAAACTTCTCAATTTGACACATAGTCTATTTGTTTCAGTTTATTCTTTATTATTAATAATGAATTTGGGACACAGTTTCTCCATATTCTCAGTAGTCTATATTTCTTCTATTGTGAATTATCTGTTTAAGATATTTGCCCATTCCCTACTAAGAGTTATATTGGTCAGGGGTTCTAGCTGTCCGTTACTATGTAACAAATTACCCCAAAATGTACTGGCTTAAAATGACAACTATTCTTATGCTTCTGTGGATCAGGGAATTTGGGCAGGACATAGATGACCAGTTCTTTTGCTTCATGTGGTGTTCATTGGAATTCCTTGGTGATATTTATTGCTGGCTGGGGTTGGCTGGAGGGTCCAAGATGACCTCAGTCACATGCCTGTGTGGGGCATGCCAGTGCCCTGTGTGGGGGAAGGCCAGGTCCAGCCAGGTTGCCTCTCCATCCCTGAGCAGTTTTAGGACCTTTCCTTATGGAGGAGAGCTTCTTCTCTCCACTGGCTAGGTGGCTTAGTGTTGTGGGTTTTATGGCCATGAAAGATATGCAGTGGGAAGAGTCTGCAAATAAACCTTACTAAAATAACCCTTATCTTCTATTACTTTCCCCCATATATTTACCTTCCCACAACTTACTGCCCCATAGAAACTCAAAACCCTTTCCCTTTGTCGTGTCTTGTTTCCACAATTTATCATTCTTTGATAAAATGGTATACTGGGTCTAATTGCTTCTTTGGGTCTTCACTTTTCTATTCTTTTATTTATTTATTCTTTTATTTATTTATTTATTTATTTTTGAGACAGAGTTTTGCTCTGTTGCCCAGGCTGGAGTGCAGTGGCGCGATCTTGGGTCACTGAAACCTCCACTTCCGGGTTCAAGTGATTCTCGTGCCTCAGTCTCCAAGTAGTTGAGATTGCAGGCATGCACCACCATGCCTGGATAATTTTTGCATTTTTAGTAGAGACAGGGTTATGTTGACCAGGCTGGTCTCAAACTCCTGACCTCAGGGGATCTGCCTGCCTTAGCCTCCCAAAGTGCTGGGATTACAGGTGTGAGTCAGGGTGCCCTGCCCTGGGTCTTCACTTTTTTATGAAGACCTCTATATGCACATGTAATGATAAACCTTTTCTCCTGTTTTTTGTCACTTTAATTTGCAGGGCCCCAGCCATTGAACCTGAGGGGGTAAAGTTTTTTTTCTCTCTCCCCTACAATGACTTGCTTTAGTGAGTGACATATTGGTAGATGTGATACCTAGTTTTGAAAAGTGTGTGTGTTGAGGCTTGGTTTTTTTTTTTTTTTTTTTTTAGACAGAGTCTTGCTCTGTCACCCAGGCTGGAGTACAGTGGTGAAGTCTCAGCTCACTGCAACTTCTGCCTCCCTGGTTCAAGTGATTCTCCTGCTTCAGCCTCCTGAATAGCTGGGATTAAGGTGCGTGCCACCAGGCCTGGCTAATTTTTGTAGTTTTAGTAGAGATGGGGTTTCACTATGTTGGCCAGGCTGGTCTCGAACTGCTGACCTCAAGTGATCAGCCCGGCTTGGCGTCCCGAAGTGCTGAGATTATAGGTGTGAGCCACTACTACCAGCTGAGGCTTGCTATTCTTATACCCCTGCCAGTGCTATGATGAGAACATACCTGGGCTAGCCTGCTGTCCCTGAAAGAGATTGAACCATATGGATTAGAGCCATATCCAGCTAAGCTCAACCTAGATGAACTGCTCCACAAGCAACCACAGACCTGTGGGTACACCTAGCTTAGATGAGATGGCTGGAGACTCTTGAGAGATCATAAATTGTTGCCGTTTTAAGCCACTAAGTTTTTTGGGGGTGGTTTGTTACTTAAAGACAGCTGATGTAAAGAGCTTCTTTTACCTTTCTGGCCTTTGTAGGTGCAGGAAGGCGTGTAGCAGATGGGCATGAGTTTTCAGTGCTAATTCATCATTTCTACCACAGTCCCTCTTTGCTTACTGATTTGTCAAAGGTCTTTATATTATCAAGGATATTAAGTCCTATTCATGAGGCTATAAATGTTCTCTATACTTGTTTGTTTTTTCTTTTGTTTATGCAGCTTCTTTGGTGTATAGAAGTCATCAATATGAGTTCACCATATCAATTGTTTGCTTGGTAGTTTCTTGTCCACACTTCCCATTTTGGCAGTTCTGCTATGCAGATATCCTCTTGCTATCTGATAATATTCTTTCTAAAAACATGCCTAAACATCTTAAGAATTCATCATATATATATATATATATTTTAAACCTAGAGTCTCAGATTCTTCAAAGTCAGATGGCTTCCCAAACAGCAAGCTTGGAGTCAACTCTCTTGCAGTCGAGGCTCTTGGCAGTGACCTGGGAGACTGCCTTCCTGAGACTTGCACATCAAATCTTTTGGAACTGGGCAGTACGGGACAGTTGGACTCTCCTCGCCTTCCTCCCTCATATCTATAGAAAATGAAAGGCCATGTTTTTAGACCTTTACCCTCTTATCATATTTTGACTGAAGTCAAGGACTGGTCTAATTACTGTTGACTCAGCTGTTTCACTGAGATAAGTTTAATAAAAGAAAGTATTCTTGGCAAATTGGCCAACTAGTACAATTTTCTTTGATGAATGGCTCATTTTTAGCAATGTTATTATGGAAATCTGAGAATAATCTATTCATTTGGCTTTTATATAAGCAAAATCCCCTATCATCCTGGCTTCAGCAATTAACACACTGACGGTCTTGTTTCATGAGTATCTCCCTTCACTCCCACATTCTTCACCCCACAGATTTGTTCTAAAATCAGAGACATCTCCCACCCCCTGTGGTAAAAACTGCTTTATTGGTGATGGTAAGTATAGGTCAATAAATACTGATACCCAAAGAAGAGCTCAGATAATTGGTCCATATAGAGCTCAATGAAATTGAACCAAGTGATTGCTGGGATAACTGAAGTCAGTGTTGCTTCTTGGGAAAGGAAGTCATGGCCAGCAGATTTATGGCGTTTGCCATCCCACCAACTCTAAGAACCATAGTTACTCTGTAGAGGAGGGTATCAGTTACCCCACCCTTTAAATGTACTGGAATTCCATTGTCCTCCTGAAACAGCTTTTGCTTTTCTGGAACTTTATTTCCAAAATACCTACAAAAAGCAGTACTTATGGTCCTCTGGACAATCTGATAAAGAGCCAGTAGATTCCACAGCATCTTGGTTCAGTTACTGCCCACCAACTGTGACAATGGAACACTGGGAACCCAAAGATATCTTATTTTCTCCACAAATATTCACCATGGGCCAGGTGCAAGTGGCCTACGCCCATAATCCCAGCATTTTGGGAGGCCAAGGTGGGCAGATCACTTGAGGCCAGGAGTTCAAGACCAGCCTGGCCAGCAGGGGAAAACCTGTCTCTACTAAAAATACAAAAATACACATGCCTGTAATCCTAGCTACTTAGGAGGCTGGGACATGAGAATCACTTGAAACTGGGAGGCAGAGGTTGCAGTGAGCCAAGATTGTGACACTGCATTCCAGCCTGGGCAACAGAGTGAGAGTCTGTCAACAAAAAAAAAGAAAAGTCACTATGTTCCTCTAAGAGATAAGGACTCTAACAATAAATTACCAGGCTAGGTGTGGTCACTCTGTCACCTGGGCTGGAGTGCAATCGCACAATCACAGCTCGCTGCAGCCTCAACCTCCTGGGCTCAAGTGATCCTCCTGTCTCAGTTCCCCCAGTAGCTGGAACTATAGGCTGATGTACGATTTTTCTTCTCAATCACTTTGTAAGCCAGGGATCCCTGGCCGGCAATATCCCACCCAGGCCACACTTGGCCCTGCTGGCATGCTGCAGCTTGTCTGTGTCATAGTTTGTACCTGAGTTTGGTGGTTCCTGAGCTCTTGTACCGCATCCAAGAAGAATGAGGATACACAGGACGTTGAAGGATGAGGAGGGCAGAGAAAAATGTTATTGAGTGATGAAAACGGTTTTCAGCAGAGGGAGGACTCGGGGTTGGTCGACCTATTCAAAGGTGGGAAAGTTACCCCCAACTCCACAGGATCTGGGGCCTTTTATGGACTCAGAATGGGGAGTGTGTGCTGATTGGTTTGTGGGTACGTGAAAAAGGTTAAAGTGAAGACATCACTCAAAGGTGGGCATGGCAGCATAGGAAACCAATTAGGAGAGGGTAGATATATGTAAAATAGGTGAGAAGGGTGGGGATTAATCAGAGGAAAGTGCGCCAAAGGGGAAGACAAGCTCTCAATCTAGTCCATGGATTGAACTTGCAGCTTGGCTTTCAGGTTTTAAATTGTATTTGGCTTGGAGGTGGGGTTTCATGGGGGACCCATCCCTATCTGCTTAGGCATTTGGCCATCCCCTGTTGCTATTGCCACCACACCTGACTAACTTTTGTATTTTTGGTAGAGACAGGGTTTTGCTATGTTGCCCAGGCTGGTCTCAAACTCCCGGACTCAGGCGATCCACCTGCTTCACCCTCCCAAGGGGTCGGGATTGTAGGTGTCAACCACCACACCCAGCCAAGATCTTCATTTTCATGAATCAAACACTTCTGTAAATGATTTGCTTAAAAGTTGTGGGTTCAAATGCAGTTGGCAGAATGTAGAATTGCCTGTGGGTGTTCTGAGCTCAGCGAGAGCCACTGAGGGACCGTGTGTCCCAGATGCAGCTGATGGCGGAGGAGGCATCGCAGCGCCCTCCTCTGTGTGAGCCACTCTGTGATTGTGCACTTGTTCACAGTGTCCCTTTATTTAGCCCTTATTTTTGCCTCCCGTTGTACAATCAGTCCCCCAAAAAGCTGAAGATGTGATAAAATCATGAATAAGAATGCTGATACGGTTTGGCTCTGTGTCCCCACCCAAATCTCAGCTTAAATTGTAATCCCCATGTGTCGGAGGAGGGACCTGGTGGGAGATGATTGGATCATGGAGGCAGTTTCTCCCATGCTGTTCTCATGATAGTGGGTGGGTTCTCATGAGATCTGATGGTTTAAATGTGTTTGGCAGTTCCCCCCTCTTGTGCTGTCTCTCCTGCCGCCACATAAGATGTGCCTTGCTTCCTCTTCATCTTCCATCATGATTGTAAGTCTCCTGAGGCCTTCCCAGTCATGCAGAACTGTGAGTCAATTACACCTCTTTTGTTGTAAGTTACCCAGTCTCAGGGCGTTCTTCATAGCAGTGTGAAAACAGACTAATATAGGAAATTGGTACTGGGATAGTGGGATACTGCTATAAAGATAACCTGATAATGTGGAAGCAATTTTGGAACTGGGTAACAGGCCGAGGTTGGGTTGGAACAGTTTGGAGGGCTCAGAAGAAGACAGGAATATGTGGGAAAGTTTAGAACTTCCTAGAGACTTGTTGAATGGTTTTGACCAAAATGCTGATAGTGATGTGGACAAGGAAGTCCATGCTGAGGTGGTCTCAGATGGAGATGAGGAACGTATTGGGAACTAGAGCAAGGGTCACTCTCACTATGCTTTAGCAAAGAGATGGTGGCATTCTATTTCTGCCTTAGAGATCTGTGGAACTTTGACCTTGAGACAGATGACTTAGGGTATCTGTCAGAAGAAAGCATTCAATGTGACCTGGCTTTTTCTGAAAGCATACAGTCATATGTGTTCACAAAGAGATGATTTGAAATTGGAACTTATGTTTAAAAAGTTTCATCGTATTGCCCAGGCTGGACTTGAATTCCTGAGTTCAAGTGATCCACCCACCTCGGACTTCCAAGGTGGCCTTCCAAGTGCTGGGATTACAAATGTGAGCCACCTCACCTAGCCTGGTGTCATATTTTAAATGCCTCTCTGGGCCTGATAATTTAAAGGGGCTCACATTCCCCAGATAGTTTTTTTTTTTCCTATAGCAGGTGGCTGGAGGTGGTCCTTGGGTTGTGGCTGTATCACTGTAGTCTCTGACTCCGACTTCACATCACCTTCTCCTGCTAGTCTGTAAAAACTCCCTCTGCTTCCTTTCTCCTTATAAGGATACCTGTGATTGTGGTTAGGGCTGACCCAGATAATCCAGGATTAATCTCTTCCTTCAAAATCCTTAACTCGGCTGGGCACCGTGGCTCATGCCTGTAATCCCAGCACTTTGGGAGGCTGAGGTGGGTGAATCACCTGAGGTCGGGAGTTCAAGACCAGCCTGACCATCATGGAGAAATCCCATCTCTACTAAACATACAAAATTGGTTAGACATGGTGGTATATATCTGTAATCCCAGCTGCTCAGGAGGCTGAGGCAGGAGAATCGCTTGAACCCAGGAGGTGGAGGTTGTGGTGAGCTGAGATTGCACCATTGGACTCCAGCCTGGGCAACAGAACGAAACTCCATCTAGAAAAAAAAAATCCTTAACTCAATCCCATGTTGCCATGTAAGGTAATATTTAACTCTTTTATCAATACATAATGTTCACAGCTCCTGGGGATAAGAAATAGAAATTTTTGGCAGGGAGAGAAGGGCATTTCTTTTAACCTACCACAGAGGTTTGTTAAATTAACTAAATAGACAACTCATATTTACATACTGCCTCAAGCATTAGAAAGTAAACCCAAGGGCTGGGTGCCCAGCACTTTGGGAGGCTGAGGTAGGTGAATCATTTGAGGTCAGGAGTTTGAGAATCACTTGAACCTGGGAGGTGGAGGTTACAGTGAGCTGAGATCATGCCACTGCAGTCCATCCTGGGTGACAGAGTGAGAGTCTGTCTCAAAAAAATAAACAATAAGATAAAATAAAAAATAAAAATAAAATAAAATAAACCCATGGCCAGGCACAGTGGCCTACACCTGTAGTCCCAGCTACTCAAGAAACTAAGGCAGGAGGATTGCTTGAGCCTGGGAGGTTGAGGCTGCAGTCAGATATGATCATGCCTCTGCACTCCAGCCTAAGCAACAGAATGACACCTTGTCTCAAAATAAATAAATAAATAGAAAAGAAAAAGAAAAGAATCCAAGAGCTTAGCCTTAAAGGATTTTGGGGTAAGTTTCTTATTTTATCTTCTTAAGTCCAACTGGACCTTCCAAAACCCAGCATCCCTTTATAGCTAACTCTGGCAGGCCCCAGATCCTCCTGAGGGCAGCTGGCAGACGGCCACGAGCTCTCTGAGCAATGTCCAGTCACCCACTAACCCTTCAGCATCCAGGAACAGAGGAGCCATTCTCTGAAGGTTGCAGAGGTTGTGAATGAGGGACTGGAAGAGAGGGAAACTTCTAGTCTCTTCTTCTCTTAAGCTTCTCCCTCTCCCACTGCCTGATAAATCCCTTCCTTGGTGGGAAACATGAGCTCTCACTTGCCCTTGCTCCTCTGTGTGAAAGGGCAGGCAGCTGAGGTATGGTGGCAACTGTTGGCTTGCCTGAGTGTCTGGAAGCCTGGTGCTGAATGCCAATGAGGCCTTTCCACGCTGGCTGGCAGTAGGATGGAGGCTTGGGTAGGCTGGTACTTGGCATTGTGTAAAAAGAGCAACAGATAACACTGTCTTTGTTTGCCGGCCATGATGTCATCTCAACACAGAAAATGACCCAGTCCAAGGATACACCCTGGGAACAACTCCAGTGTCCCTGTGTGATGTGGGAGAAGACTAGGGGACTCTTGGGGGCATGGGCTGTACCACTGGGGGCTGGCTGAGGCCAAGCCTACTGTGTGCCTTAGTAACTTAAGAAAGGATGGCCATGGATCAAATCTGAGGCAGAGAATCTCACTCAAAGAAAGACAAAATCTTTAAAGCTACTACATATAAAAATAAGCTAATAAGCACTACTGAATTATGAGAGAATTCACCACTGTTAGGCCCGTGGCATTTAGAAATGCTAAAGGGAGTTCTTCAATTTGAAAGAAAAAACATTAATGTGAAAAGAGAAGGCAATTGAAGGTATAAAACCCATGAGTACAATTAAGTACATGGACAGACCCAGAATATTTTAATGCTATAAGTATGGTGTGCGGTCCACTCATCACTCTCATATGAAACCCAAAAGACAAATCTATCAAAAAATAATAATAGCAATAGCAACTAGTTAAGAGGTGATATAAAATATATAAATTGAGACAATTAAAAGTCAAAATATGTGGAAGGGGATGGAGTTAAAATGTAAACTTCTTTTGTTTTTTGTTTCTTTGTGATCTAAGCTGTCTTCTCTTTAAAATAACTTGTTCTAGCTCTATGAATTTTCTTTTTCTTTTTCTTTTCTTTCTT